CCCTCCCTCCCTCTCTCTCTTTTTTTTTTCTTTCTTTCTTCCACAAAGGACTGGTATGTGTTAAGTGAAAACTGTAAGGAATTTTTATGTACAGAAAATCTTGCCCCTCAAGGCTTGCAGCACTCATAGCGAAATCATTTCAGCTGACACAGGGCCAGATGTGGAGAACAGGGACTGAAGGCGTCTGTCTTGTTTCTGGCTTGGGGAAATGCATTCCTTCCCTGGAGATGGAGCGAAAGAACTCATTCTGGAAGGGCTGATTACAGCAGCACTTTTCCAGTAACAATAAGGAAGGACTATAACAAGTCCAGGCAGGAAAAAAGAACAGAGAGTTCTGACAGTTTTTTTTTTTAATTTTCCCTGTTTTTTCTAGTTTTCTTTCACAGTGAACACACTGCCAGCAGGGGGGCCAGGCCAAGGCCCTGGAACCCAGCGGAGGTGGGAACCCAGCGGAGTCTGGAGCCAGCCACCTGCCTGGCATTTCTGTGGGCACAATCTTTGGCTATTTTCACATTTTTTGCAAACTAGGTCATGAGATTTTGACTCTGTCGACATATCCGAGAAGGTAATCTACCCCACCCCAATGAAACAGACCATGAAAAAGCCCAGTTGCCCCGTGAAGTGTCTGGTCCCTGGGATGAACGTCACAGTGATTAATCAGAAGGAAAATGGCTCCATTTATCATTTGCAAGTAAAAGAAGTCATACTTGGGGAGTCACCCTTATTGTGCTAGGCTTTTTTTTTTTTTTTTTTTGGACAGTTAGAAATTCGTCAGCAGTATTGCTATTGCTGAAGGACAATTTGCTAAAGACTTTTCCTGATAAATCCAACAAGCTGTCACTCTGCCTTCACCAAAGCTGGAAGCCAACCTCGATGATATCCGTGCCCTTTGCAACCAAACAGAGAAACCCTTTCCCAAGCGCCCTGGTGGAAATCTTGTTGCTTTCTACTCTCGCCAGCTTCTGTGGGAACAAGCCTGGGCAGGCGTGGAGGGGTAGAGCCCCGAAAAGGTAAAGCTACAGGACCAGGCAGGCCAAGCAGGTAACGAATGTGTACCTAGCAAAGCAGGGTGAACTCATCCAGCACAGAGCCCCAGAGGAAGTCGGGCTCGGACCCGTGATTGGGGCGCTGTCAAGGCCTGGACAATCTGTCTGACGGGGGCTGACAGCAATGTGCCGTGCTGTCCATTCTTACTTCTGAGCCTTACTCCTGCTTCACTGAGTTGTCCATCACACCGCTATCGACTTGGACCCCACGATGAACACAGCACGAGGAGCCCTGGGAGGAGCCCTAGGGAGGTGACAAGGTGCTGTTCCTGCCCACAGAGATGGGGATCACCTCGAAAAGAAAAGCGCAGGCGCGTCTGTCTGTGCATGTAGTCTGCTGGGCACGCTGGGCCTCCGTGGAAGCTCACACCATGTTGCTCAGGCTCAGGACTGTCCCAAGGGTTCTGTCACAGTCAGACAGAACCTGCAGCTGGCAGGCTGCACTGAATCTGAGCCCAGGCTGACCCTCCCCCTCATTTCCTGCACTCCAGAAATGCAGGGAAAAGACAATCCTCTAGGTTTCTTTTGGTTGATTTTTTAAATCACTGACTTTGGAGGTCGCACCTCTGAGTGATGCACCATTAGTCTCCCAGTAGCTCTGCTGTAAGCAAGTCCTCTCCACCGTGTAGGTCTTGATGATACTGGCTGCCTTGGCTGCTTTCCAGAAGCTAGAGGCTGCTTCTGTTGAAGCCATCAGCCTGTGCAAATGTCCTCTTTGAGTGACTCAACGTCAGCAGCTAAAACACTCTGCCCTCTCACCATGCTAACACTGCCATGTCCGACCTGCACACCCAGCTCACTGATGACCTCTTTTTTCCCGGCTTGCAGCACCCTCTTCTTTTATCCCAAGAACACCTCTAAGCCCTACCCTCGGGGAGAGAACCTGAGACTTGTTCTCCTCTCTCCAAGTGCAGCTGCTTGCAAACAGGTCGTCTTTCCAAAGCTACCATTTCAGTGGCTGACATGATCATGTGACAGGCAAAATGGCCTGCCTCAGTCACACTTGCTGCTGCTGTCCCTGAACATGTCTTCAGAGGTGCTTCCCTTCTGGGACCTCATAGGGAAGGCACCGCCTGGCTTCATCTACTGGATGGAGTGGAACAGCAATTGCAGTCCACACTTAACAGCCCCAGGCCTGCCTGGCCACCCTTGTATAGAGCTGTTAGCTCACTGTCAGTCATGGAACCCCAGAGTTCCCAACCCCATCTGTAATCCTACTTCAGGTTTATTTGTGTTGTGTCTCACACACACACACACACACACACACACACACACACGCACACACCCACAGAGTGGAGTGTGATAGGCCTCTCCTCTCTCCCTCCCCCATTCCCCCATCCACCCTTCAGCTTCCTTAGCAGGTAGCCAGGGCCCAGGCTTGACCCCATAATGAATGCTCAGGCAATAAATATTTAAGCACTGAGTGAACAGCAAAGGAAAAGAAGAAAAGAAAGCCCAGAAGCATGCAACTTAGAAAGACCACTGTCTCTTGGTCTGGTTTTGATTTTTCTAGCATTTCATATTTGTTCATTTTAAATCTATAACAGCTTTATAGAGATACAATTTTCATACCATGCAATTGCCCATGTAACATGTATGATTCAACTGCTTAGTCTGGGCACAGCCTTGTACCACTGTTCCCACAGCTAAGTTCCTAATGTCTTATCACCCCAAAAGGAAACCCTCGTCAACCCTTAGGCAGCCACTTTCCTCCTCTCATCCCTCTGCCCATCCCTGGGTCTAGGTCATCAGCAGCCAGCTTCCTGTCCCTGCAGGTGATGTTGAGCCTCTGCCTTACCTGTTTGTGTGGGGACAGGGGCAGGCGTGACAGGATCCGTGGGCAGCGTTCCCATAGTAACCCTCCTTGCAGCTCTCGCAGTGCTCCCCGGCAGTGTTGTGCTGACAGTTCTTGGGACAGAGGAACAGGACAATGAATGCACCTCTTACACTTCCTATTTGTGAGGAGTCTTGCATGACTGTAACTCAATCCTACTGATTCTGTATGAGAACAGAATCTGTACCACACACATGAAGTGGTAGATAAGCCTGACTTGGGGATGACATGGTGAATACATGTATCTAAATATCCCACCATACCCCATAGCTATGTACCATTCTGCCAACTAAAATTTTTTAAATTTAAAGACTGGACAGAAAATGTAGATGTTAGGGCTGGCAAGATAGCTCAGTGGACTAAGTGCCTGCTTAGTCAAGCGCAGGGACCAGAGTTCGAACCCTGGCACCACATGCTGCTGCAGCCCTGCCCCCAGGTGTGCTGAGCCAGTGACTGAGTCTGGGCATGGTGGTACAAGCCTCTAATCCCAGCGCTGGGAGGCTTGAAAACAGAAAGATCACTATGAGTCCGAGTTGCATAGTGAGACCCTGCACAAAATAAAAAAATAAATTTAAAATAATAATAATAATAATGTAGATGTTAACTGTCCACCTTTTTCTAGTTAAAGAATTGTGCTAAACACTTAAGATGCTCGTGCATACTTCTGACAGTGAGGAGGGCCTCTGGGGAGCTGTTTACGTGCTTTTGCTGGCCATCGCCAGCAAGTGCCTGGGCTGGCATTTTCCTTCCTGCCCAGATCTCACTGCAGCGTGGGCTTCTCCTTTGGGTTCTAACCCTGGGAGAGAATCCACCCAATGGCTTCCCTGCTCCACAGAGGAGTCCTTCAGAATGTGCAGTCAGGCGTCTGGCTTTCGTGTGATGCAGACAAGGACAGCGAAGGCTTCCTTTGCCTCTATTCTGCTCAGCTGCTCTGTCTCCCTCAAGGAATATCCTTATTTTAAACTAATCATTTACCTTCCCATTTTAGTTTTCTTTTTAAAATAAATGACAACTTTAAAGGAGAACGTTCTGTGCTAGCTCTAGTTTGGTCCTCTGCTGCCTTGGATCTGCGACTGAGAATAGCTAGAGAGACAAGGACTGAGCCGAGGGTGTGCGTGTCCTGCTGAGAATGCCCTGCCCAGCATGCAAGCGGGGTGCTGCGGAAGGGGGTTGCCCCCAGCAGAATTTCGGCAGCACCCTTGCCCTTGGGGGAGGCACCACCCCTAGAAGCTGTGGTCATTAGTCCCGCAAGCTGGAAGCATCTGCCTGTCAAGTTTCCTTGTGTTTTGCTGGGATTGAATGAATGAAGAATGCCAGAGAGGTCCACATCCACTTCTCAGGATGTGCTCTCACAGCCCTGTTCAGCACTAAACATCCACTATACATTTACTATATGCCCAACTACCCCAGACGCACAGATGGGCTGGTACGGTGGCTCAGAAGGACAAACACCCGTAGGAACAGATGCACTTAATATGTCCAGGAAGGCCCGACAGTGAAGGAAGGCCAGCATCTCACAGCAGCAAAGCAGGGGGCAGCTGGACCTTCCAGAGCCCAGTGGGACCGGGGTGCGATGGGAGTGTGTGGGGGGGTTACCTGGTGCAGAAGCCAGGCAGGAGCATTGCAGGCCTGGAGAGTGGAGCACACAGAACCTCAGTCCTGGGATGGCATGGCAGCGTGTGAGGCAGCAAGCGAGGTGCAGTGGGGATACCAGAGTCCCACATGGAGGAAGGAGCTGGGGAGCACCCCTGAGACCTCACCAGGCCCAGGCACTCAGGACTGGCTGGGGGCAAAAGGGTTCACTCCCTCCACCAGCTCCAGCCCCACCAACCCCGCGTCAGCTGAGAGTTTCGGGTAAGTCATTTTGGCTCAGCAAAGGAATAAAAAGTTGAAATTAAAGGGGAAAAACATGGGGGGTGATGCATTCCTCTAATCCCAGCACTCAAGAGGCTGAGGCAGGAGGATCGCTGTTAGTTTAAGGCCGGCCTGGAATATACAATCAGATACTGTCTCAAAAAGAAAAAAATAAATAAATAAAAAACAGGAAGAGAAAAAAGGAAAATGAAGTAGAAAGAGAAGAAAATCAGCCATTGGTAGAAGTGACAGACAGCAGGAAGCAGGAAAACCAGGGACCTAGAGAAGGAAATACAGGGAGAGAGGAGAGAAGGGCCAGGGAAAAGGAAGACTCGCGGCTTTGTGGAAAAAGGAGGGTGGCACGCAGGGCCCTTGGCCAGGGGATTCCCCTGCCACGCCCTCTTTCCAACCGGACATACAATGCTATACGCAAGGGATTGGCTGCTATTCAAATTTCAAAATTTATTCTTGAAATTACATGGAGATTTGCATATGTGCAAAGATTTTTGATTTTAGAAATTTAAATTGGACCTTGAGAGGCATAGTCTAAAAGTCCCTTCCACACACAAAGGCTCTGGTGGCCCCATCAGCATTGGTTGAGAACAAAGGTGGTGTCTTGGGTTTCATGCGGCGAGCGCAGGCCGGAGCCACCCCAGAACTCAGTGCAGCATATGCTGAGCGGTTCACAGAGCGCAGACACGAGCGCACGTGTACATGCATGGCTAGGTGTGTACACATAAATACATATGTGTGCACACACATGCATGTTCCCCACTGGACAGCAAGCCTCTTGAGAGGAGGGTTGGCATCTGACGCTTTTAAGCCTAGCTGTCACAATAGCCCTGTGCAATAAGGATTTCTACATGGCCATTAAAGACAAATGAAGGGGCCGGGGAGCTGGCTCAGCAGAATAAGCACTTCCCTGGCAAGTGCAAGGGCCTGAGTTCAATCCCCAGTTTCACCAAAAAAAAA